ATTCAAGTAGTGAAATAATACTACAATAAATAAGGCGAACCCGGGAATCATATACCATCAATAAATATCTGGATGGCGTGGCAGTGCCTCCGCCAAGACGAGCCAAGCAAAGCGCCAGGGTACTACCTACCTTTTCTTGAAGTGTATCATTTTTTTAACCTTATAGGTGGGGTTTGAATTTTTTTTTTTTTTAGACACACCAATTAACCTAGCCCCAAAGTAAGCACTATAAGGCTTGTGTTATGGGATAGAATACATATACTGTACATATATAAGTATATTTATATAAATACATATTAAACATCCATGACTGGAGTACAAATGCTCGTATTCATCACACAAACATCTGCCCCCACCGGGATTCGAACCCGGGACCTCTCGCGTCGGCGACAGCCATGAAACCCGGCGTACAAACCACTCGGCCACGGAGGTCGTCGGATTATACCAGATAAACAAATCTTTCGAATTATTTTGTTGATAGTAGACTTATAAAACACATTAAGTTTTAATTGCATGGCTCTAATATTTAATACTTTACTGATTTCGTCAGTGACTCCCTGATGATCATCTAAATTCTTAGGGCAATCCAAATTACCTAGAAAGCTGAAATTTGGTATTTAAGCTAGTATCAGAAACAAATGATAAAACTTGAAACTTTTATCCCCCAACCCGGAGGTAGATGTTTGTATGAGACTTTCGGATTTTTTACACTACATAGAGGTAAGAAAATTGAGCTAGGGGTCTAAACATGTATAAAGGCGCTTCTTGTTATTATAAAAAATAAAAATAAAAAAAATATGTGATACTTTATATGCAACAAAAATAATTTGTAATTAAAATTGAAACTGACTTCAATATGGAAAATGGATCTAAAAAGTAAAAAATAATATCGGTTTCACACAAAATCGGCTTCAAACTTTTTGGAAGTTGGATGGGGCCGAGATTAAAACACATGGAGTAGATTTTCATTTCTATCGGTATACGTACCGTGCCGTACATAGATACACGTCTGTCAATCCTGACCCGCCCGATTTCCATATCATACTTGAATCCGCCCGATTTCATGTGAACCCGATATAATTTTTAATTTGTAGTACAATTTTCGATTTTAATAATAATAACATTATTTGGAACAAGTGCAATGTACATAAAATTATGAATCGTTAAATCTGCTATAGTTTTACAAAAACTGTGTTGCAGAATTAACGCCCATTCCCGTATAATATGAAATAGTGTTCCTATCAATGTACAAATAAATTAAACAAACTGAATTATTACTAGAGAGGAAAATTAGATTGAGACAAAAATATTCACAATCCATCGAAGGTAATTCCAAAAGAAAAAAGTATTTCCGAGTGCATTTTGCAGTTGGTTTTCATTATTACTTACTTACTTACTGCTGTGGCGCAACGATCCGAAGTGGATCTTGGCCTCCTCACAACCGTACATCAAGATCGGCCTAATCACTGTGTTGTAGATCCGAATCTTGGTCTTTCTTAGTAATTAATAGCTTGGAAACCAAGACCTTGTGAAGAGCAGCTGTGCACCTGAGTGCGCCTTGGATACGGGTGTCGATCTCCTCTACTCTTCTGTTGGTGTCAGTTACCGTATAGCCCAGATATTTAAATTTACTGACGCCCTTATAGGTGGTTCCTTTCACAGTCAGATCCTTCCGTTTCTCTCTCGTGTTTTTGTACCTTCACATGAAAAGGTACAAAGGTACAAAAGGTACAAGGTTTTCATTATTGGTTAGAACTTATTTTCCTCCATTTTTGTGTAAAGCGCCTACTCATACAAACTGAGTAGTCGGTATGATAAAGCGCTGAGAGAAAAAATAGATTATCGAATTAAATAAAAGGCTCATAAAAAGAAAACATCCTTGTCAAAGTAAATTTTTATGGGGCTAAATGGCAAGTATCTCCCATCGGACAAATAAAGAATCACTCAAATCAGTTCAGAATTTTTTACATAATATATCTTATGGTGTACTGATAAACAGAGTATCGTAAAAGTTACAACGTCCAAGTTAACAAAAGTGATCAAAAAAAAACCGCTGGGACAAACTGATTTAATTTTTACGGTACCAAATGGCAATTATCCGCATAGGACAAAACAAATGGGATCAAAAATCTCAGCGCAAAGGGTGTACATTCATAAAAAAACATACCAGTCGAATTGAGAAGCTTGAAGTCGGTTAATAAAAATGTCAACTTACAAAAAGAAATTAAAACCCACCATAAACATTTTCATGTATAAAATATTGCCAAGACGGGACCATATGACTCGCACTGTCAAAATGTTATCAGATCTCATGTGGAACCAAGCTTCTAACTCTAAACGTGCTGAATTCTACAAGGCCTTAAAGGATGATAAATATTTTTCGGTGTTTAAATATCAAAAATTAAGATTCAGTAATCGAATCAAACGTAAGGAAACAGTTATTGACGACGTGAACAGTTGTATCTCTAAGGTAGTCCACTGGTTAAATGTTAATAATTTACTACTAAATGAAGGAAAAACGAAATGTATGAAATTTGTATTACCTAATGTAAAACAGGTAAAAACCAGTGTGATTGTAAAGGATAGGAATATGGGCCTTGTAGACGCCACAGTATTCTTAGGGATTACTTTAGATTCTAAGCTTCAATGGGGCCCACATATTGATAAATTGTCAAATAGACTTAGCTCTGCAGCATATGCCGTAATGAAGATACGCCAGTTAACGGATGTAGATACGGCCAGATTAGTATACTTTAGTTATTTCCATAGTGTAATTTCGTACGGAATTTTATTGTGGGGAAATGCCGCCGTCTTTCAAACTATTTTTGTGCTGCAGAAGAGAGCTATTCGATCAATTTATAATCTTAAAGTTAAGGATTCCTTAAGAGATAGGCTTTGGATTAGAAGTTAGATTTTTTCACAGCTCCAAGGGACAATAGATCTGAGTATTAGATACGAATTCAAGTTTGACACCTCCACGCGTTCCTGAGAAAAACGGTCTTGACAGATGGACGGACGGACTACAAGGTGATCTTATAAGGGTTCCGTTTTTTCTTTTGAGGTACCGAACCCTAAAAAAGTATTATATGTGTCAGCTACAGACTTACAACCTACTTGATTCAGCGGTTAGCAATCATTGCTGTGATTCCAGGGGTTCATGGATTTAAATATTCTTTTTTTTTAAATAATCATTGTTAGAATAATGAAAACAATGTATATAACGTAGATTTTAATCTTTATTCACAAAATCATGTGGTAGTGTAAGTAATGGAAACAATCTAGTAGTAGATTGGACCAGGTTTGACAGACGGGAAGCCCTCGCTGATGATGCCGATGGCACCGTTGCCGCAACCACATGTGGCGACGCCTGATCCGGCAGTTGGCAACGCACCCTCGAAGGACACTGCGCTGAGGAAAGGCAAAGAACCGCTCACCAGCAGAGAACCATCAATAATGTTTTCAGAAGCCACTGCGAGTCCGCTAGGTCCAATGGGGGAGATTGTAGTGACAACAAGGGGCCCACTGGAGCCGAAATTAAGACCTCCCACGTTTAAGGTTACGCCACTCAATCCAGCTCCCACTGTACCGACAGTAGATCCACCGCCAATCACGCCGACGCCGCCTAGACCTGCACCGATCAGACCGACGTTGCTAAGTCCTGCGTTAGCCAGACCGATGGAGCTGATTCCGGTATTAGCCAGTCCAATAGAGTTGATGCCAGTGTTAGCCAGGCCAATAGAGTTGATTCCAGAGTTAGCCAGGCCCAAAGAGTTGATTCCGGTGTTAGCCACGCCAATAGAGTTTATTCCGGTGTTGGCCAAGTTGATGTTGTTTCGTCCGCTGTTTCCGACTACGAAGTTTTCTACGACTGTATTGCCGGATACGTAGGATTGTCCGAAAACAGCCTGTAAAAACATATTATTATAGTACCTAGCTAATGGCTTGTGAACCCTCCAATATAAAATTATTATACTTTAATATTATCTATTAAAGTAATACAGGCCAAAATATCAAGCATTAAATAAGTACAGAATGGAAGAAATGTCGAAATAATATGCGCCTAATAAATTTATCTCAAATTAAAGGGAATTTTTGAAAGATTAAGAGTTCACCGGGCCTCATGATATGGACAATTAATTAAAAGCAAGATTATGCATGTCAGAAAGATAGTGATGAACATAATTGAAAGGAATATACAAGGAAAGAAAGACTAAAGGAAATAAAAAAAGACAGTGAAAAATTCTATATGAAATGAAGTGAAAGAAAAATGATCTTATTCAAATCGACTTAAAAGAATGCTCTTTCGAATCTTTACATTTATGAGTAAATGTTGAAATGACTATTGATCGCAAATAATGGAAGAAAAAACATATTTAGTTGTACCAAAATACAAATTTAAGGTATATATTAGGTATCGCGTCTTTGATTGTTTATTACACAAAATAAATGTGCATTGATATCATCACTATAAGGCACAAGTTGGACCTAAAATTTTGAACCCCGTGGTAGTCACCCTGTTGTCCTGTGACCGTTAATAAACTCTATATATTTATTTGAGAGAGTTCTTCTCTCTCCCGGTACAGAGTAAGTAATGTTTGAGCAAATATTAATTGTACAAGTTTTTCTATTTACCTGGACGAGGAAAGCCGAAGCGACAATGAATACTTTTTGAGCTGCCATTTTAGTTTCCAAAATGATACTATGATAGTTGTGAGGCTTGCAGCAGTTTTTATAACCCAAAAAACTATTACAAATTGGCGCGTTATCAGTTGATAATATTCAATTAAAATAACCTTATGACACAGATTCGGACTTCTGAAACGTGTCTTGTAAAATTGTACTTATCATTTCAATGTTACGAATTGTGTTTGTAGGTATTTCTGTGATAACAGACATATGAAAGTTTTTTTAAACACGTGTATATTTTCATTATTTGGCCTTAGATATATTTTTTTCATACATTGCGATTAAATAAAGAAATTTCAACATCATAATTGCAGGATATAAAAGTTCTGGTTGGCCTTTCGAGTAATCATTCAAAGGAAGTTATTTGAATAATAAACAAATATGTCTTCTTCAACTTTCTTTTTGATCTGCCTTCAGGCTCTGCTCTTACAGGTAAGATTTATGATTTTTTTTACAAATATAAAATTGCGCTTGAACTGGTACAATACTCCTTACCTTATAGTAACTTCTTATTATGCCATACCCAAACGGTGACAAAAGATTTCTATAATATGTGTCTGCTGTTTGATTTATTTTTGAAGGGAGTCTCCATACCATACATGTGCTCTGGCAGCAGTGCTGCCAACCCGAATTTTAGAAAATTAGTAGATTATGTGCTAAATGTTGGTAGAAGTTGGTAGAATGTAAAATGCAAAATTGGTAGATCTACCAGCTCAATTTAGAAGATTTTTTAAGATTAAAAATGCATGCAATGCAATGCAGAGTACACTTAAGACCACACCTACATGATTTGCAATAAAAATATCCTTCATCCTTGGTACTTTCTTGAAGCCAACCTGTAAGTTCCTTGTCTTTTTTCATAGTGCCTTTTTCTAGGTTTTCATGACAGAGTTCCTAACCTAGAACTTTGTGCATTGCTTTCGCTGCTCAGAGGCTCAGCTCAGAATCCATTATATAAATAAATGCATGCAACATAGAACAAACAGCAATCAGAACATATAGTTTTAACAACAAAACAGAAGCAAAGATTCACCATTGATTCCGAACAAACCAACCGGGAATAGGCCACAGAACAGTAAAATAATGTCTATGGGCGTGAAATGGTGCGAACGGCGCGAACAGCGAACTCATGGCGAACTGTTGCTGACGTTTTTTTTGTGGTTTATGGCCTGGACTCTATGTTTGCTTGACGCATCGTCGCATGGTTCAGGCAAAACACATAGTCGCTCGTCGATATAAAAATAATTCAAAGTGGTGATATGTCAAACTCATTAAATAAATAGATAGTTTTTAGGTCTAAGGTGGTATATAGGTACCAAAAAGTTGGTAGATATGACAACACTGTCTGGCAGTGATTTCACTCCGGGTTGCGGAAGGTATGGGTTCGTATCCTGTCTGAAACTTGGACCGAGTGGAGTTTTACTACTAAGTACTTTAGAGGAAATGGGTTTTTTTTTATTATTTTGCTTGATCCTATTTTAAAAACTGTACCCACTATGGTACGGACCCTTTCGTTTAAAAGTAGGAGAGTTACCACTTTATATTATTATAGCACATCTTATAATAACTTAAAAAGCCAACACGTTTCAATATAAAATTAAAATGTAAATAAAATTGAAATATATGTTACTCTTTCTACAGAATGCTTACAGTCAGTACCTGAACTATGGCAATTTGGGCTTGACTGGAGTGGACTTTGACGTCCAAGCCACCAGCAGCGCAAGAGCTGGTCTCGAAGGATATCTTGGAAACGGTGGTCTCATTAATTACCCTGGTGCTGCCAACCTTGGTTTGAGTGGACTCGGCCTCGCTAATACTGCCGTGAGTGGTGGTTTGGTCGGTCTCAACGGTCTTGGCGTCAGCAACGTCGGTCTTGGTGTCAGCAACATCGGTCTGAACCAGCTCAGCCTCGGCAACGCCGGTGTCACAGCAGCTGGTTTGAGCAACGCTGGCCTAGCGCTCGGCGGTATCGGATACGGAGTCGGCGTACCCAACGTAGCAGCTACATCTGGTATCCCCGTGACTGGACCGTTCACCGCTACTGGCGAGGCTGAGCTCGTGGTCGGTGGAGACTTCAGCGTTGCCGGTCAGGCCGCGCTCGGTGGACAGATCCCGGTGCTCGGCGCTGTCGGCTTCTCCGGTGCTATACCCGCCAGCGGTGTCGTTTCCATCGCCGGCAACTGTGGCTGCTCCAGAATACCCCTGTAAATTGTATTCGTGTTTTAAAATAAAAGATCACCGAATTATGCATGTAATATGTTTTTTTTCTATTCAGAAACCCAAATAGAAAAAAATCTTTCCCTGCAGACACCTACTCGCTACTTTCCCTGTAACTACTTTCCTTCAAATGGAATGGATTTGGACAGTAAATCATATAGATAAAACAAAGTCGTATTAGTAACAGTTACATCACTTATAACTCGAAAACGGTTAGTACGATGTTAATGAGCTCTGATTTTTCTGACTCCCCTCTGCCCCGAATGGCTGAATAATTATTAAAATTTTCAATGAATCACAGTGGAAAATATGAATAAAATCAACGTTATTTTTAGTTTTGGTATTCCGCTATCAACCACAATTGACAGCACACATCACGCATGTGCAAAACTAATGTGTACTACAAATCAGTAATTAGTAGTGACATCAGAGACTCTGCGGTCGACTAGATATCGCCAACGTAGTTGTCCCTTAAGACAACAAATATGACTCCGAAGTGGGCGCATCTCGGCCTTCACCAAGCAAGCCATACAGACAGTTGTGTATAAAGTGTACGTACATGTTTTACTAAATTTTGGTCTTAATCGTATGTAAAATGGCAGTATGTAGTGAAATAATACTACAATAAATAAGAAGAACGCCAGGATCACATATTATCAATAAATATCTGGGTGGCATGGACCGTACCTTACCTACCTTTTCTGGAAGCCCTTCTTCGTTTTTTTGAACCCTTATAACTAGGGTTTGGATTATGCCAGACAAACAAAACTCTTGGATTATTTTGTTGATAGTGGATTTATAAAACATATAAAGTTTCAATTACATGGCTCTTATACTTAAGATTTTTTGATACCGTCACTCACAAATTTCCTAGGAAACTGATGTGGTATGTAAAAAGATAATTTGCGTATGTAAAAAGGTAAATGATAAAACTTGAAAATTTTATCTCCTAACCTGGAGGTAGATATTTGTATGAGACTTTCTAAATTTTGACGCTAGAGGTAAATTTTAAAATTAAGCTAAAGGTCTGAAACTTTAAATAGGAACTTCTTGTTATTTTATAGATAACAGTTAAAAAAAAATTGAGACCCTTTATTGCAACAAAAATATAATTTATAACAAAAAATTCAAACTGACTTCAATATCGAAAATGGATCTAAAATGTAAAAAATAATATCGGGTTCACACGAAATCGGGTTTAAACTATTTGTGATTTGGATGGGGCCAAGATTAAAAAACATGGAGTAGATTTTCATTTCCATCGGTATACATGCTGTACATAGGTACGCGTTTCAATTCTGACCCGCCCGAATTCCATATCATACTAGGATCCGCCCGATTTCGTGCGACCGCGATATAATTTTTTACTTTGTAGTACAATTTTCGATTTTGCAGTCGGTTTTCGTATACGTTTAGAACTTTTTCTTCTCCAGTTTTCTGTAAAGCGCCTACATATTACAAAATGAGTAGCCAGTAAGATTAACCGCTGAGCTACGTATCGTAAAAAATTAAATTATCCAAGTAAACAAAACGCTCATTAAATGAAAACTTCTGAGTCAAAGTAATTTTTTATGGGACTAAATGACAAGTTTCTCCAATCTAACAAATTAAGAGTCACTCAAATTAGTTAATTTTTTTTTATATAATATAACTTATGGTTTACTTATAAAAACAAAGTACTGTAAAAGTTACATCGTCCAAGTTAACAAAAATGATCAAAAGAAAGCACTGGGACAAACTGATTTAATTTTTACCGGACCAAATGGTAATTATTCAGCAAAGGACAATACGAAATGACGTAAATCGGATCAGAAATCTTGGCGCATTCGGTGTACCTGTACATTCATAAAAAAACATACCAGTCGAATTGAGAACCTCCTCTTGCTTGAAGATGGTTAGTAAAAATGTCAACTTACAAAAAGAAATTAAATCCCACCATAAACATTTTCATGTATAAAATATTGCCAAGACGGGACCATATGACTCGCACTGTCAAAATGTTATCAGATGTCTTGTAGAGTCAAGCTTCTAACTCTAAACGTGCTAAACTCTACAAGGCCTTAAAGGATGATCAATATAATTCTGTGTTTAAATATCAAAAATTAAGATTCGGTAATCGAATACGATGAATTACACGAATCTCTGTTATCAAGATGGCTTTAAAGGATTTCAGTTATATTTGTAGTTTGTTCATTCAATAATCGTGTCTTGTTAATATTTGCAAAAAGCTATTTAAAATGGTTACCTCATTTATACACCTCCGTGACGACCTCCGTGGTTGAGTGTTTTGTACGCCGGGTTTCATTGTGTCACCGACACGAGAGGCCCCGAGTTCGAATCCCGGTGGCCCTGCCCGTTTGTGTGATGAATACGAGCATTTGTACTCCAGTCATGGATGTTGAATATGTATTTCTATATAAATATACTTATTTATGTATTGGTGTCAATTCTGACACGATTCTCTAAACCTAAACTTAAATTTGACAACAGCGTATCCTTGTCATTGTCTAAGGGAATGAAAAGGAGAGATTGATGTTAAATTTAGTTTTAAGTTTAGAGAATCACGCCAGAATCGACACCATTGTATATGTATTTTATACGTTACTCTAGTATCCCATAACACAAGCCTTACAGTGCTTACTTTGTGGTTAGACTAATTGGGGTGTAAAAAAAAACAATGATTATACTCACGACTCACAGCTAACTTTAATAACACAAAACGCAAATTGGACTCAGAGAAGAAAATGTATTGTATGTGTCAGCTTCGGACAACCTCCTTGGCTCAGCGGTTAGAAATCCTTGCTGTGATTCCAAAGGCCATGGATTTAAATATCCTATTTTAAAAAAATAGGATATAACCATTGTAAAAATAATGAAAACAATGTATGTAACGCAGATTTTAATTTTTATTCATAAAATCATGTGGTATTTTAGTGTAGATTATGAAAACAATCTAGAAGTAGATTGGAGCAGGTTTGACAGACAGAAAGCCCTAGCTGATGATGCCGATGGCACCGTTGCCGCAGCCGCACGTGGCAACGCCTGATCCGGCAGTTGGCAACGCACCCTCGAAGGACACTGCGCTGAGGAAAGGCAGAGAACCGCTCACCAGCAGAGAACCATCAATAATGTTTTCAGAAGCCACTGCGAGTCCGCTAGGGCCAATGGGGGAGATTGTGGTGACAACAAGGGGTCCACTGGAGCCGAAATTAAGACCGCCCACGTTCAAGGTTACGCCACTCAATCCAGCTCCCACTGTACCGACGGTAGAACCTCCGCCAATCACGCCGACTCCGCCTAGACCTGCACCGATCAGACCGTTGCTAAGTCCTGCGTTAGCCAGACCGATGGAACTGATTCCGGTGTTAGCCAGTCCAATAGAGTTGATGCCAGTGTTAGCCAGGCCAATAGAGTTGATTCCAGAGTTAGCCAGTCCCAAAGAGTTGATTCCGGTGTTAGCCACGCCAATGGAGTTTATTCCGGTGTTGGCCAAGTTGATGTTGTTTGCTCCGCTGTTTCCCTGTACTACGACTGTATTGCCGTTTACGTAGGATTGTCCGAAAACAGCCTGTAAAAACATACAATTATAGTAGCTAATGTGTTTATGAGTTCAGGAAGGCTGAATGTCGTGCTTGTGAGCCCTATAATGTTAAATGATTATACATTAACATTACATATTAAGGTGATACAGACAGAGACATCGATGATTAAATTAGTACAGGATGGAGGAAATGTCGAGGTAGGTAACGGGAACAATATGCGCCTACCAAATTTATCTTAAATTAAAAGGAAAATTTATCATGAATTTTATAATTATATTATAATAATAATAATTAACAATTGACATGAAAGACCTGGCTTTCATGCCAATAGTTTAGCGTAAGTCAGAAGTCAGAAGTCGTTATTTGCATTAAATATGGTGTACATAAGATGTTACATTTGTGTAAGGAGGGGGGGGGGGGGGACGCCCTACTCGAACAAAATTTGTGTTAGGAACCCCTAAGTAATTTTTAAGGAACTTTTGAACGATACTTTCAAAATTTTATTCTACCATTTTGTCGACGAGGTTGATATACATATCTCCACAAAATTTCAGATCTCTAGTGCTAACAGTCTCCAAGCAAAACCGGGGACGGAAAGACGGAAATGACGAAACTATAAGGGTTCCTTGTTAGGACTACGGAACTCTAATAAAGAGGAATAGTATATATGTTACGTATCGTGTCTTCAATTGTTAGTAACACAAAATTAATTTTGATTAAAATCTGCACCATTAGATGCAAGTTGGACATAATTTTTTCTGGTTGTTACCCTGTTGTCCTGTTACGGTTCATAAACTCGTGAAAGTTAATAACGGTCCCGGTACAGTTTAATTAATGTTTAAGAAAATATTAACGGTATATGTTTTTCTATTCACCTGGACGAGGAAAGCCGAAGCGACAATGAATAATTTTTGAGCTGCCATTTTGGTTTTCAAAACGATACTATGATAGTTGTGAGGTCTGCAGCAGTTTTTATAACCAAAAACTTTTACAAATTGGCGCGTTCTCAGTTGATAATAGTCAATTATAGTTAGTGAGTTAGTTAATACCTTATGACACAGATTTGTACTACTGAAACGTGTCATGTAAAATTGTAGTTATCATTTCAAAGTTACGAATTGTGTTCGACGGTATTACTGCGATAATATAATTTCACTAATAAAATTATGAAAGTTTATTTAACACGCGTATAATTTCATTATTTGTCTGTAGGCAGTAATTTTTTTATAAACATTGATCAAATACAAATATTTCAACATTATAATTGCAGGATATAAAAGTTCTGCCTTGACTTTCGAGTAATCATTCGAAGGTAGTTATTTGAATAATAATCAATTATGTCTTCTTCAACTTTCTTCTTGATCTGCCTTCAGGCTCTGCTCATACAGGTATGATTTATGAAAATTTCTTTGAGCTTGATCGGTGAAATCTAAAACACTCCTTGACTTTTAATTTGGCTGTTATATAGACTTAAACATATATTCTTAGTGTTCCGTACCCAAATG